ATTACTTATTATATAATCTTCTTGCATCAAGAGGTGGCCTCCCTTGTACAAGCCTGGTGGTTTCTGGAGGTCTCCTCGCCATCCGATACAATTAATTATAGTTCCTTCCTTCTTGTACCTATTTTTTTTTTCTTGTATCTAATTGTATGTATGTATATATATATATGGCAAATAAATATTGTTATTATTATTATTATTTTTCTGGATAGCTCTATCAGTTCTAAACTGTTCTTCTTAGAGGTCCAGTAAGGATCATCTCTTATTGACCCAGTATTACTACAGGAGGAAGCCAAAACTGATCTAACTTTATTTATACTGGTGAGATTAAATGTTCGCCTTATATGTGATAGACATTTTAGTGACGATTCTCCATTATTATATTTTTGTTGCAGAAAAGGGTAGTCTACCACTATGGTTGCGATGTTTGATAGCGTGTTGTTATCAAGTGGATGATTTTGATATTCAGAGCACGTCAGTGTCTACAGTGCTTGATATGATCAACCTTACATTGTCTGTCAATCCCGGGGTGACCTGTGCCAGAGCTGGAGTCATGGTCATTCCTATATTAACTTTGGACGAAGTCGTTATGATTGAAAAGTCAGACATCTATAAGGTCAGTTTGGGATTTTATGCGTGGATACAGATTACTGTAATTAAAGAAAACTTAAGAAATAGCTCACTTTTCTTAATGACGCTGTTTTATACTTAAAAACGCACAAGTTGTAACAAACTTGCAGCAGACTTGATATTTGCCGTATTGGTGTAATGTACTCAGGTGAATAAGATGCTTGTGTGTTGTTACTCTGAGTGTATATGTAGCAATGCTATTCCAACAACTTGTCAACAGGATGTGTTCGCACTGCTTGTTCCCAGCTTGTTGACAAGTTATCAACCGGTTACTACAATCTTTAGTTGAGTTTTGAATCTCAATCATCGCATGAAAAATTCCAATGCGATAAAAATGGGGTTGTTTGAGATAAACTTGTGACATGGAGATAATTTTACACCTTGGAAAACCAACCATGCATGTAAGAGAAAAACAAACATACTGTCTGCAGTTTGTTCGCAACACAAGAGAAATCACGCTTGCGAAATCGTAACTTAATTACATGTATACTAGGTATTAACTCCAAAATCAAAACAATTCTGAGCTGTTCTAAAGAGTTGTTAAGCTTTCAGACGTCACAGACACCCAACTGTGCAGCTAAACTCAATCAAAGGTAAACTCTTCTCTTCGAAAACGAAGAAATTCTGAACAATCAACTCCATTGTGGTTTAACCAGGATTTTATTTTTGTACATGTAGGTGATTGCGAACAGTCTGTGGTCAATCTTAGGCCGTCCAGTACCAATCCATCACAGAAAAGCAGTGGAATTGTTGATACAGCTTCATAACCTGACTCCAAGCCCCCATCTTTGTGAGAATGTCATTGGCTCATCTATGGTCTCCGCGAACAAGGTAAATCGCGATCGTCACAATAGAAATACTTGGGGTCACCCATGGAAATATACATGTGCTTTTATACCAGTGAATATAAAAGCGATGTTATACCAATACCAGTGAATATCAATGTGAAGTCTTTCCTGTTATTTCAAATCAAAATATTATAAACACCCTCTGTTTATAACCAATTATAACCGTTGCATCCCTATAGTATATTATTTTTTATTTTCTTTAGGAAAGTCGCTTGGAAGCTTTGAAGAGGTTTGCTAATCTGTGGCATATTGCCAAGAGTATTTTATCTCAGAATATTCAAGGAAGGACTGCGCGAGGTCTTCGCACTTTTGACAGGTACACAGCGATATTGTTCCAGTATAAGTTATTTTCAAGTAACATAAAACTCATCGCTAATTTAAACATGGTTATATATGTCATGTAAGGCATGCTTGTAGATTGTTTTAGTGGGTGTCGCCAATAGTACTCGAATGGACCAAGAATAGTCTGTGTCAGGGGAACCCTTAACTTTAGGCTTGGATAGCTGTACTACATGTTAGGAAACTTTTAAGTGATTTATACATGTATAATGAACAGGGACGCCGGAACGATGTGAAGGCAAGGGGGGCAGATTTTCGTGAAAGGGAACTTTTGAATTGATATATACTAAGAGATGTTTGCAAAACATGGGAAGTTGAACTTCGTCTAATCATGTTTTCTATTTATTGGATGATAGGGGTGTGAGGGGGTTCTCCGCCAGGCGATTGTGCTATTCTTGAAGCTCGACAATATCATATTTCTGACAATTCGCTATTTCGCCAAGGCAATCCTTTAAATCGAAAGGGCACCTTTGCCCCCCCCTTTCCCCTCCTGGTAAAGGATAACGGGGGCGGCTGCCCCTCCTGCCCCTGCCCCCCCCCCAGTTCCGGCGTCCCTGATAATGAACAAACCGTCATATTTATTTATCTTTGTAGATCTCTGTTTGTCATGTTAGATGGTCTTGAATCTGAAGAACCAGAAATAAGGTATATTTTTGTATGGTACTTTATCATTAATCTACATCAAAGACCTTACAGCATCTTGATCTATATACAGTTTAAGCATTTTTTTGTGAAACCATGCATGTCCAATGTTTTATACAAAATGTCGACTTTGGTGCATTAATTTTGAGCTTCTTTGCACAGGCTACAAAATTTGATGGATTTGTCGTAAGCATTTCGCCATATGACTATATTAATACTCATGTATGTTGTAAATTTATTATAATTGTGTAAGGTTACTGTGCTAATATTGTCTTGTCCATTTTCGGTCGTTTTTCGAAAGTAATGAATGGGCGGAAATGGATACAAATTCGCATTTTCGGTTCATATACCTAATTTTTATTCACTTACATGAGCTATCGAGTCACCAGGATTGATTGCAAATGTTATCCAATTTAAGTAATATTATATCTTAACGGGTAAAGCGGTTGCTTTGAATCCTGTTCGAGTAACGAATTTAAAAAATGTTTCATAATTTTATGTTGGGTTTAACAGGAAAACAGTTGTTACTACCAGTCTACCAACGGCTGCCACTACCTTTTTGACGAGTAACATTCTCTGAGGTTGAATAGTTTAAAGTTTTAAAGCACGGTGTATTTTGGCTTAATGAGCTTCTGTTCTTTAAATTCTTCTAGGTCGCTTACCAAGATGTGGGTTAGTCATTCCTTGGAGCAAGGAGATATCGGGCGTATTTTGGAGCCATTGTTATTACTTCTCCTTCATCCCTCTACTGCACGGGTCTCGCTTTTCTACTGTGAACGAGAGAAGACGAGAAAACAGGAGTCTGGAAATGAGTTAGGGGTAGATAGGGACGCTGCGGGTGAACAAGGGGATGACGATGATGGGATATTGGAGGATATCAATGATGATAGTCGGGCGGTATCTGGGGGTACAGAGGGACTCAAGTCTGGTGCGACTAAGGAAAAAACTGATAGTATGTATTTAAATTTCTTTATTTATACTGGACAGCTCTATCAGTTCTAAACTGTTCTTCCTAGAGGTCCAATAAGGATCATCTCTTATTGTTCCAGTATTACTACGGGAGGAAACGTAAACTAAACTAATTTTTTTTATTTTGGATAGCTCTATCAGTTCTAAACTGTGCTCCCTAGAGGTCCAGTAAGGATCATCTCTTATTGATACAGTGTTACTATAAGAGAAAAGCTAAACCAAAACTTTATTTATGTTGGATAGCAGTTCTAAAGTGTTCAATATTTTCCTTGCCTTTCAGAAACAACCACTTCTGAAATGTCAAACACAGGTCAAGCTCCACAGCGTTTATCAGACATGCACAAACTACATTATTCTGGCAAGTGTGACTACCATCGTATCTTGTACGCATTCCGTACATTATCTGGTGTGCTACGAGTCGTTCCTAGACAGTTTGTTTGCGCCTCGGCTGCCACCAGTATCGGGAGCTCGTTTGGACCCTACGAGGAACGCATTAAGGAACTTTTGATTCGCCATAAACGTTCATTACTTGGCAAAGGATTTTATGGTCCGCTCTTTGGAGACAGAGGTAGAGACAAACCTATTCTATTTATACTGGATAAAATAATACTAGATAGTTTGGATAGTTATACTGGATAGTTTTGTCAGTTCTAAACTGTTCTTCCTAGAGATCCAGTGTTACTACAGGAGGAAACTTAAACTAAACTAACCTTATATATACTGGATAGCTCCATCAGTTCTAAACTGTTCTCCCTAGAGGTTCAGTAAGGATCATCTCTTATAGATCCAGTGTTACTACAGGAGGAAACTTAAACTAAACTAACCTTATATATACTGGATAGCTCCATCAGTTCTAAACTGTTCTCCCTAGAAGCCCAGTTAGGATCATCTCTTATTGATCCAGTGTTACTACAGGAGGAAACCTAAACTAACTAACTTTATTTATACTGGATAGCTCCATCAGTTCTAAACTGTTCTCCCTAGAAGTTCAGTTAGGATCATCTCTTATTGATCCAGTGTTACTACAGGAGGAAACCTAAACTAAACTAACTTTATTTATACTGGATAGCTCTATCAGTTCTAAACTGTTCTTCCTAGAAGTCCAGTAAGGATCATCTCTTATTGATTCAGTGTTACTACTGGAGGTAACATGATCACCTAATGCCTTTTCATTCCCCATCGAAATTTAATTTACTCACATATATAATTTAAGAGCTTGGTTACCTTTGTTCCATTCTATGCTAACATTATGGGGAAAGTGGTAACTAGGCATGTGTGTTCGTTGAAGACTTGTGGATTGCAAGGAAATATGCCTGATTATATAACCTACAGTCTTACGTTATTTTCAAGGTTCGCAGACAAGTCCCGTTAGTAAAATCACGATCAAACCCAACACAAGCAAATATCTGGAAATCCTGATCACAATCACCTTGTATTTCATACGTAGTCACTATCTCGCTGCGTCCAATATTTCTCGCGAGTTCCTCGAAGGCAATGTCAAGACACAAGTCTCCAGCCTTGAATGCCTGTCAAACCTGATCTGGGAACTCGTCAAACTGGTTCGAGAAAGTGGACATGGATTTGGAAATTTCATCACGGATTTGCTCTCCCGTTGCCGCGTTCAGAAAGCTATCATACATTGTCTAGCTGCCACTGTCAATGGAACTTGCGAAATTCCGATGTCACGATCACCTTCCGACAAATTGCGACCATCACCCGACAATTACCGATCAGCTTCCGATTGCTCCCGATCGTCCACCGACTCCTTACCGGAGTCATCCCGAAGGCCGTCCGAGGAGACCGTAGATCAAATGATTTTACAATCCAAACTTCTTGAAGTTGTCGAATCATTGATTGTTCTTGAGCATGCGCTTTTGTCGTGTATCGAAGCGTTGACGCCAGATCACCATGGAAACTCAGACTTCGAGATGATTATGAAAGGTGGGCAAGAGGCTGGCGCGAACGTGGAGGGCTACACCTCTCGATTCATCCAAGGAAAGTCCCTATCCTCACAGGAAATGCTGCTCACCATGGTTTTGTATTCCCTGAAGGCGCAAGGAGATTTTGAGATGAGCAGCCGCTGGACAGGATTCGTGATTGAGTGTTTGCCATATTTGGGCATGGATTTGAGGAAGTGGGTTGTCCCAGTTGTGTTGCAGATGTGTCATAACATCAGTGACGTCACAAGAGTGTTTAAGGACCACAGGAACGGGCAAGCACAATGGTAAGAAATGTTGCACTTATCACTTCAAATCTGATTTCCATATACAATCTTGGGAACTATTATTAATATCTGGTAAATAAAGTTTAGTTTAGGTTTCCTCCTGTAGTAACACTGGATCAATAAGAGATAATCCTAACTGGACCTCTAGGAAGAACAGTCTATCCTACATAAATAAAGTTAGTTTAGTTTAGCTTTTCTTCTGTAGTAAAACTGGAACAATAGGAGGTGATCCTTACTGGACCTCTAGGAAGAACAGTGTAGAACTGATAAAGTGTCGGTACCAGCTGGCTGCTGATTGGGCTAAATAAAGTGTATTTATCTATCTACCTATCAAAGTTTTGTAATATTATTTTATATTTTAGTTCTTCATCTCGCAACAAACAGTATCCACCAGATCATTTATTGGCAGCTCTAGCTGGTCTAACATCAATTTGTCATTTTTGCCTGTTGGACGCTGTGTCTTCACCTGTTTTAACCATACAACCTCGTGCAGGTGTGTGAACCAATGATGATATCTTTATAAGCATTAAACACGTGTGCGCCTTACACACTAGCCCGCTTAGAAATAAATGTACACACAAATTTTAAAAATGCACAGACGTAGCCGATGAATGTGAATATATACTACATTATACTTTCATACCAATCAATCGTGAAAGTCAATTTGAAGAGAAATCACTTTGACACATATTTGTTATTAATGCTATCTAGGATTTCTACGTAGTAGAAACGCTAATGAATTGAACTATAATCTCTGTAGATAACAATAACAATAATCATAATATTGTCGTATTCATTCTTAAGGTAACAGCGTTGGCTCGCCTGGGTTGCCCTTTGATTCTGGTCAGAAACCAGTTCGTTCGACGCAGATATTTGCCAATCTACTCCATGCATTTTCGTCCAATTCGAAGTCAAGTAATTCGTCAGCAAGTGTACAAAACCCCAGCCCGCTGCTGGAGGCGAGAGAGGGATTGCTGAGTGTCTTACCCAAGGTTATTGGCACGTTGTTGTCTCTTTGGGGAGTCTGGAATCTTGATTGTCCTAATGAGTCATTGCCGTCAAGTATGGCTTTATTGGGCACACCTAAGGTAAGAACGACTGAGTACAGTATGTTTGACATAATGCATTAATTTTATTTATTTACTTTGCCATCATACTTATACATTCATTGGCTGGGAAACCACAACAGCTATTGCCAATTACAGCGGCCCCAATAGTTATACAGGAACAATTTACAAGGTATACTAAACACACACAACAGACAATACTTGAACAACAGTCATTACGTTTGTCTAAAAGCAGCATGTCAATGGAGAGTTCATTAAACTTCGAGCAGAATTACATTTTATACACACACTTTTCCATGTCCGGGGATCCTCAACATCGTATGTATTTTCTAATGCTAAAATATAGTACTTAAAAAGAAGATTCTTGAATTCTGAAATTGTTAGGTCTTCGGATGTAATATAATTGGGTAGTGTGTTCCATATTCTTGATGTTCGGATTTTGTAAGATTTTTCATAGGTTGACGTCTTGTATGTCGGAATTTTATATTTGTGCGAGTTGGGATTAAATGATCTAGTTGGGATTAAATGATGTAAGTTGGGATTAAATGATCTAGTTGGGATTAAATGATTTAAATTAAAGATGATCTAACGATTAAAGGACATTGGCAATAAAAAATTAGTTTAGTTCATTTGAAAGAACTCTTAAAACTATGTATTAAGTACTAGATAAAAATGAGCTGCCGATCTTTATCTGGTATAACCCATCTTTTGAGTTCATTGACGAAGTAATTTTAAAAATAAACATTGTCTAAGTCGAGAAAATCAAAGCTGAAGTTTATGTAAATCAGGACAATCTTTATGCGATTTACAAACATTGATTAAACATTCATTTCTTCTGAATTTTTTTCATGAATTATTACTGAGTTTTATAAACTCTATTACAGATTGTTTATGTCTTGCCTTGCCTTGAATTATTGAGGACATGCATGTTACGTCAAAAGAGGGGTCACGCTAATTTATTGTCTTTGAGAGTAAGCGATCAATATGGGTCCAAAATTTCGTTTCTGGTTGCTGTCTAAAATTTAGAAATGATTAAAAACATTTCAAACAATTTTGGATTGTTTACTCGGTCATTTTAGAGTAGTTTTATATGGTTAATATAGGAAAAGACATTTTGCAGAGATTTTTATTTTTCTTCATCTTCAGGCGTTGCGTCAAAACATTCTTCAATTACTGACACCAATTGCAATGACTCACACCATCGTCTTCCTGGCGTCTGTCGCTGATGTTTGGAACACCAAGAAACTAACTGAAAAAGATTTCGAAACTAAATCACATTTCTTTCTCGCCGTCTCTGATGATCAGCTTCGAGTTATATCCTTGGTACTGGATATTAAGGTAATATACACTTACTTTATTTCTCCCTAGAGGTCCAGTAAGGATAATCTCTTATTGATCCAGTGTTACTACAGGAGGAAACCTAAACTAAACTAACTTTATTTATATTGGATAGCTCTATCAGTTCTAAACTGTTCTTCCTAGAGGTTCAGTAAGGATCATCTCTTATTGATCCAGTGTTACTACAGGAGCAAACCTTATTAAACTAAACTAACTTTATTTATACTGGATAGCCCTATCAGTTCTAAACTGTTCTCCCTAGAGGTCCAGTAAGGATCATCTCTTATTGATCCAGTGTTACTACAGGAGGAAACCTAAACTAAACTAACTCTATTTATACTGGATAGCTCTATCAGTTCTAAACTGTTCTTCCTAGAGGCCCAGTAAGGATCATCTCTTATTGATCCAGTGTTACTACAGGAGGAAACCTAAACTAAACTAACTTTATTTATACTGGATAGCTCTATCAGTTCTAAACTGTTTCTTCCTAGATGTCCAGTAAGGATCATCACTTATTGATCCAGTGTTACTACAGGAGGAAACCTAAACTAAACTAACTTTATTTACACTGGATAGCTCTATCAGTTCTAAACTGTTCTTCCTAGAGGTCCAGTAAGGATCATCTCTTATTGATCCAGTGTTACTACAGGAGGAAACCTAAACCAAACTAACTTTATTTATACTGGATAGCTCTATCAGTTCTAAACTGTTCTTCCTAGAGGTCCAGTAAGGATCATCTTTTATTGATCAAGTGTTAACACAGGAGGAAATCTAAATTCAGTTTCTTTGTCTCTTCCTAGGCATTATCCCTGGAAGTAGTAATCGATACAGTTCGACAGATCCTTCATCAAGAAGTAACAAACCGCGACAAAGGTTTCGAAGCAAGTCTATTACAATTCTTTCATGAGTTTCTACAACGTTCTCCTATCAATCACATTACTCAAGCTAAGAGTTCATTCTTAGCCCTGCTGAAAGATGGCTTACAACTAAACCTGCCTGCTCCTGCAGTGTTTCTATTACTGGTTAATCTGCATTCATACTGTGTTAAAATCCCGGTGAAAGAGGACAGAAAATCACGCAAAGAAACTCAGGTCAGTAGAACTGGTTCATGTGTCTCAAACGTGTAGTATTCTACAATAAGGTGCCCTGATTTGTGTCTGAACTACCTGAAAAAGATATCTCAAACGTGGTGGTCCAGTGTAGGTAGTATTCTACAATAAGTTGTCGTGGTTTGTGTCTGAAATACGTGATGAAAATATCTGAAAATAAATCTTTTTCTTCACAGGATGTCGCTCAGCGTCTGATAGAATCGTGTACATCTATCGCAGGACTGTCTCTTGGTAGTAGCGCGTGGTTCAGCCGTAACCTCTCAGTCATAACCCTTCCCGAAACCATTGCCGAGGAATCCTCACCCCAGTCCGAGAGCGACACCGTAAGTAGTGACGTCAAATCTGAGCCAGCAAGCAAACCGGTCAGTGGTGGTAACGCGGGCAAGCATAGTACCCAGGCCCTCGTAGTACTCGCGGACGTCTTGGCGTCGCTGTTGGATATTTTATTCGGAAGCGAGGAGAAAGAAAGAGTGGTGAATTTCTTGATTAATGTCATGGGGAATGTCACGCCTTACCTTAGAAATCACAGGTAAGACATAGGGGGTGGGACAAATAAGACACAGGGTGGGTGGGGGAGGGGGGAGAGACCTTTGGCAACAATGGAGATTTTAAGATCTATGACGCAGCAGAAATTTGTCATGCAAGACAAAAACAGTGATAATTGTTGGTCCAAGGGGTATTCTAAAATCTAAACGGCTTTGTCGTTAATCGTTATTGCGACCGAACAGGTGTTACTTGAAGTCGAAATTACACCAAACATTGCATTGCTTTAGCCGAACGTAGCCGTTTGTAAAATTTTTGAAAAAGCTTCTGAAATTTATTACGGAAAACAAATTGCTTGACGCTCATATCCCCTTTTCTTGGGTAAAGACCTACCTAAAATGATCATGTTTTGTGATTGGCTTTCAGAAACAAAAATGATCATTGTTCGTGACTCGTTCTTTAGAAAGACGATTTCTATAGTTTTATTGTCTTTCATTGTTATAATCAACCAACCACGAGCCTGGACAGTATAGGTAGATGATAACCACTTTTCTTTCATTCTCAGTGTGGCGAATGTTCCGAGTTTCCGCGCCTGTTGTTCTCTGGTAGCCTCGCTCAGCAGTTATCAGTACACGAGAAAAGCGTGGCGTAAGGAAATGTTCGAGTTAGTTTTTGAAGCGAATTTCTTTCAAATGGCTTCGGAATGTGTCGGAAATTGGCGTATCATCATCGACAATCTGTTCACTCAAGACCACGCCTCTTTTCGTGAGCTCATGGCGCGGGCTACGGTCACATCTAGTACAACTATCAGTATATTTGGAAATCACGAGCAGGTAGGGTAAACCTCATTTGCAAGTAAAGTAAACTTTGGTAACTTTTTTGTTCCACACTTGACTGAGATCTCACCTAACCGGCCTGGTTTGTTTCACATATGAACACAAATTGCATTCTATATGCTTTACAGTAATAACGGGCATGCGCTCATATAATCCAGGGACTGGTTGTCCAAAGCCAGATTAGCGCTAACCCTGGGTTAAATTTTAACCAGCTGCTTTTGTTTATCTATTTCTGCATGATTATTTGTTTCGAAACATTAGAAAATAAAACCTTGATTGAACCAAAAAAGATTTCTGGAAAAACATATTCAACTTCATTGATGAGCTGTTGGACAATTCTATTTGTAAATTTGTGTTACAACCCAGGGTTAGGCTGGGTTAGGCTGGTTAACCCAGGGTTAGGCTAACCGGCTTTTGAACAACCGGCGTTACCGGCCCCAGGACTGGAAATAGAAAAAAATTGAGACTGGCAGGCCATATTTTTTCTCTTTTTCGAGCCCTTTAATGAATACAATGGATTCCAGAGCCTACGACAATAAATAATAAATTGAAACGTCGCGAAGGCTCTGGTTCCACGGGGAGATTCTTTGATTAAACCGCGCCAATCACAAAACAGAATTAGTGGTTTTAGTACAGATTTCGTACTAAAACCACTAATTCTGTTTTGTGATTGGCGCGGTTTAATCGAAGAATCTCCCCGTGGAACCAGAGCCTTCGCGACGTTTCAATTTATTATTTACTATCGAAGGCTCTGGAATCCAGGGTATTTAATGAACAGACCCTACCCAGAACATAGTTCTAACATATCGTTGTCTTTTTCAGGAAATGCAGCAACGAGCTTTGATGTTAAAACGTCTTTCCTTTGCTGTATTCAGCAGCGAGCCTGATCAGTACCAGTCTGTCCTACCTGAGATGCAGGAACGCTTGGCCGAGTGTCTGCGCATGCCCCAAGTCCCAGTCCTTCACGAGCAGGTCTTCTTATTCTTCCGCGTATTGCTTGTGCGCATGTCTGATAACATGACGTCAATCTGGCCAATGATCATCTCCGAAATGATTCACGTGTTCCTTCTCATGGAGAGCGACCTATTGCAAGCCGATACGCCGTCACGTGACCAGCAGATGTTCTACTCCGAGACGGTCCTTGGTGCCAGCGGGTATGTGAATTACAGTCAAGAAAAATGGCTAGGTTTGTACCTATCAGTTTGCAAACTTTTAGATATAGCCTTATGTCTTCCACCGGAACAATTGCCCCAGTTCCAAATGTACCGCTGGGCTTTTGAAAGCGCAGGGAGTCTGGGAACTAGCGGGACCGCGCGGAAACAGGGTACTAAGGAGACCGCGCCGAGCCTGGAAACTACTGAGACAGTTGAAAAACCGGAAGCTAATGAGTCGGCGAAAAGTACTAAAAAAATCGCTAAGAATTCTGGTACCAATAAGACCGAGAAGAAACCGGGTACAAGTAAGACTGCGAAGAAACAGGGTACCAAAGACACCGAGGGGAATATGTGTGCTATTTTTAGACCTTACGTCAGTCGCATCACGAGGCTGCTGGCGAAACGGAAGAATATCTACGTATCGGCCGAACCACTCGAATGTCATGTCGGCCGGCCGCTCTTGACAATGTACCAGTTAGAATCGGTCGATGAACTGTTGCCGTTCCTGCGCATGCTCTCCAAAGAAGGCAGGATTTTGCTTGACATGCGCATTAGCGAGAAAAGCAAGACGAGGAAATTTAAGACGGGAAACAGCGCGAAGAATTTTGTCGAGAAATTGATCGAGCGCGATTTTCTTGACCCGCTTGGGGAATAATGGATCGGAAGGTGAGGCGAAGAAACGCTGAAAAATCAGGTTGGTTTTATGGGCGTGTTCATGTGAGCGCACGCGAAACTCGCCTGAGTAACGAACTGATAAAATTCAAATTGTCTTCATATGAGAACTAGCCAGCCCGATTAGGCGTGATCTCGCTTTGCGCTAGATGAAATCTCATTCCATATGAAGGATTTATCCCACATGACAGAGATGGACATTTTTTGCTGATTTTGACCTATGATATAGCATTAAACGGCATAGATATAAAATACAAGCAAAAATAAACATTAAGAGGCAATTTTTTTCAATGTCGCGTTTTGCGATGCATTTTGTTCAAAACCTAAAATCTTCTTCGCGTTCCTCTCAAAATTACTTTGTTTTAGCTTTATTTTGTAGTTTACACAGTCAGCAACCCTTTTAAATGTATCTGACGGTTGAGACTACATAAAATAATAGTTTGTATTGTCAATTTAAATACAATTATCATTGATGCGGTAAAATTGACGCCATATTTATACGCCAATATAAGCAAAACTTACTGAACTTCAGACATCATTTTCTCTTTGACATACCATCTACAATCTCTTCATTTTAGCATAAATTTACAGGTAAAGCACTAAACATACTTTTTAAGTTTGTTTGCCGCTTGAGAAACGTATTAAAAATGTAAAAAAAATTGAATATTGTGCGGTAACAACAGCATATTAATTAGTTTTGAGCGCGTATTACGTGACATACAAAAGATTCTCCCAAACAGACACTATTGAAATCGTAATACAAGCTGAAGTTTGTTTAATTACAACAAAAAATTCGAAGATACTACGTCCATGGGATAAAAACAGTCATGTGAACACATAAATAATTCAACCCAATCAGGCGAGCTTCCGGACAGACCAAGGCTCATTTGAACACGCCCTATGAAAGCTAGGGTATAAATATAGATCAATAGAGCTTTGAATAATACCTAGATATATTGAATTGAATAGATTAAAGATTTAGAGGTCTTTATGCTATAACGGGAAAATAATTAAAACGAAATTCTTGAAAAAATATGGTTGTGTGAATAGGCTAGAAAATGGATATACCTTCGTGTATTACATTTAGCGAAGCCAATAGAAAAAAAATCCGTGAGCAATGTGAAAAAAATAAATTTCACTTGATATTTAGCGAGTAGTACAAATTTGAATTTTTAGCGCTGTGTGGAAATGCGCTAATTATATTTATTTTAAAAGCTAATTTTAACTCGCTTAGATATTAATTTTAGGAAGTCATGAAAAGGTTTAAATATTTTATTTATTACATAACAAAATTTACATTTAATAAAGTCTTAGTTGTCGTGTAAATCGTCTATTTTCTTTTGGGTGTCTGAATGGGTGATTCCAGTTAGACTAAATTTTGATCTAGGCAAGAACAAACTCATGTTGTAAAACCACCCCGGCATTTTCCCGCGCATATCAAATACAAATAGAAAATTTGCAAATTTCGCAGGGCTCTGTTTCGCATTTTACAACATTTGACGGCCAAACTGCGATTTTACTAATATTAGCATGCTCTTTCTAGCTGTGGGTTTGGATTTTGTTTTTCTTGTCTAGATCAAAATTTAGTCTGTGGCTGGAATTGCCTACCGAAAAGCTGCAAATTAACCCACTAAGTGCCATATCTCTCTCTCTCTCTCTGGTGTTAGACAGAGCAAAATCATAAAGTAGGGCACATTTCCAATTTGCCACTTAACCCTTTACTTTATTATTTTATTCTGTCTAATGCCAGACAGTTTTACTCATCAGGGGGAAAGTGCTGCCACTCAATGGGTTAATCAGACTATCTACCCATGCACCCGGTTAACCCTTTATGTGGCAATGCACCCTACTTTATTATCTCACTCTGTCTAATGCCAGACAATTTTACTCATCAAGGGGAGAGTGCTGCCATTCAATGGGTTACTAGACACATAGGCAGATAATCTGTTTAAAATTGTCTGGTGTTAGACAGAGTAAAATAATAAACTAAGGCACATTGGAACTTGATGGGTTAGTGGGTTATAACAGCTGTAAATATTACTCAAATATAACCATCTATTTATTCTGTCCAACCACAAGATGCTTGACAAGATTTTCTAAGCAAGTTTTAGCCTCGGAATTTGGAAAACAATCCAAACTTTCTAAAGCATTGTTCCTGTAACTATTTGCTAAGTCTTCAATTTTCTCTGCTGTCTTGGCATTTTGTAGTTTCAACCTTGTTCTTTCAGGCACTGCTATCTGGGTATTTAGGAGTTTTTCCAGTACATCTGGTGGTAGTATGCGTTTGTTTTGGATCACCACAGCATTAATTAGTGGGATAGTTTTTAATTCTGTGTTGATTTCTTGGTAGTCTTTGAAAAGTTGTCGAAGTAGTGCCAAGTTCTTGCCAAATGTAAATCCAGCGTCTTGGTGCTGGAGTAAAATAGATATGTACACAATTAAATTTCTGAATTATATTCTAGTTTTTAGGCTGTTCATATTAGAGAGGTATCTGTATTGGAGAAGTGTCTGTATTAGAGAGGTATCTATATTATTAGAGAGATGTCCATGTTAGAGAGGTGTCTGTATTAGAGAAATGTCTGTGTTAGAGAGATGTGTGTATTAGAGAGGTGTCTGTATTAGAGCTAGGGAGGTGTCTGTATTAGAGAGGTGTCTGTATTAGAGAGATGTCTGTATTGGAGAGATCCCTGTATTAGAGAGATCCCTGTATTAGAGAGATGTCTGTATTAGAGAAGTGTCTGTATTAGAGAGATCTTTGTATTAGACAGTAAAATAGATACACAATTAAATTTCTGAATTATATTCTAGTTTTTAGGCTTTTCATATTAGAGAGGTATCTATTAGAGAGGTGTCTGTATTAGAGAGGTATATATATTAGAGAAGTGTATGTATTAGAGAGGTGTCTGTATTAGAGAGGTGTCTGTATTAGAGAGATGTCTGTATTAGAGAGGTGTCTGTATTAGAGAGGTGTCTGTATTAGAGAGGTGTCTGTATTAGAGAGGTGTCTGTATTAGAGAGA